TGTTATGACGGAAACTACGACCTAGCAGACTATGTATATTTTTGTGCCTCAAACCACTAACAAATTATTGTTGTATGTATTCTTTTAGTATGATTCGATGGCAAAATCACTGAGTTAATAATATTATATATATATATATATATATATATATATATATATAATATATATATACTTCGCACCATTAATGTGTCCCACATTTCAAAAGAGTTGTAAACTATGACAGCTGAATTTATTGAATACTTAAGTCATATATTATTATGCGAATGTTTAATTTATGTAAATGAATTACTATTATTGCTTGGCGACGGTGAATTTAATCTGAGTAACTTTTAGGAACGTTGAATTGTAATGAGGTCTTTCAGTTAGTTAAATTCAATGGGAAGCTGATGTAGTCGCATTCGGACGAAGACATCCGAAATCCACTAGTGAGTGTTGTACGACTTATCTACCAGATAGACTTGCGTAATCAGTTGTAGGAATTGATTCTACGTACAACAACATGGGAAGGTATGTTCACTTATTCGCTAATAACCATGCAGATATTCTTTGTTCCAGTTTGTGATACCGGATAACTTTGGATGTGGGTGTCCACTTCTGTGGTTTTCACTATCACATACAATGTTCCTCTTGTCAAGTATAACACTAAGCAAATGACGAATTCATCTTATGGCGTCATTCTGTAATTCGAAAGATGGTACACACATCTAAAACATAATAATTATGGAAACTGGAGTAACCCCTGTTTGCAAATTCGCAAATTAACTATCCAGCTGAGAGAACACAACCAAATCAAAATCACATTATTACTTCTCGTCGTGCAGCAACGGCAGAGACTTCTTTCAGAGTCACATGTAAAGGACGAACAAGTCGTTCGAAAGGATTTCGCCCATATCTTCTTCATGCAACCCAAGCCTTAGCAATTACTAAGTAGTATGCTGGACTTTGTCTTCAGAATCATTTCATCCAGCCTCTTTTACTAACATCGCCTTAGTAATAACCTTTCCTTTTCTCCTTGCTTCTTTGGTTTTCTCGAATAACTGTGCAGTAAGGTTTATATTTTGTCTCAACTAGTTAGTTGCCAACCCACTTGATTACGCAAGACTGCTGTCACTTTTCCAAGCATATTTATTACCCATCTACAATTTGTTACCGATTGACAATTAGCTTTGACCTCTGTTATCAGTCTACACTGCATGTATAAATTGCCTAAACAACTGTTCAGCTTTGAAGTCAAGTTACGAAAAGAAGAGATCTCTTTGCTGACTCATGGGTTCTTAATCCTCATGAAATGGGAGTTTTTCATACTCTTAAGATGTCCAAGCAACCTAATAGATTAATACATACATACATCCTGTACTGTATGTAGCGCAACCTCGAGCGGAATTTAACCAGACACTCACTCAAACATTTAATTCACATTTGATGAATACATATTTCCATGCTCAAATAGCTTGAATGCAACTAGTAATATAGGAATAACTGAACTGAATGAATTTTACACATTCACTTCTCTACATAAGGCTGAATACAGCAAGAACAGATATCATTTCTTTGACTCCATTTTGTACGACACTTAAGATAATCTTCAAGTATTGGTTTTGTAGGGATTTTTGTTTGATTCCATTGAGGATGTCATCATGTGCTGACATCAGTTAGAGAACCACTGGAAATCCTGGGAGTACTGAACAGCTGTTTCATCTTAGTTGGGGACTCTTCATCAGTATGCACCCACCGGGGTTAGAACCCAGGACATTCTGGTCCATGGACTAGCCATTGGATCAGGTCCTAATGGGTAAGTGGTCTACGAGATCGCCTTGTAACCAAAAGGTACTGGGTTTGAATCCCGGTGGGTGCGTACTGCTTAAGATAATCAGCATAAGATTACCCAGCGAACGATAGTTTGTATAACGGATACTAAGTGGTCGTTAGTGATGTGGTTCACTGTCCGAAGCATTTGTGTCTCAACTAATTACCCTTATACCCGAACCTCTCCTCACCTACTTCAGTCTGGATAGTAAATACCAGGTCTTGCATAACAAGTGAGGCTGGCAGCGACATATACCAGAAGCGTATGGTGCGAAAATGAGTTTTACTATACTAAGCGACGACTATTGCAATGGATTGTAATACACTAAACCACCAATTAAACATCTTCAATCAGTGTAGACACCATCGAATGACATCATGCGCCAGGCCATCACTCGACTGGAACCTGCATGGAAAACCCAAGGGAACGATAAATAATTATTATAATTCGTGTGGAATAGTTTCTGTTTGCTTTCTACGAAGTGGTATTACACTTACGTGTTCATAAATACTGCCAGTCTTAACTGCATTATAACAATTTCACATCCGATGGAAAACCTGTGTCTATATCTCCTCCTAAAAACAACAACAATATACCACTTTAAGCACCTTTCAAAAGCATTGGATTTTCCTCAATATATTTACAGATTGTCACACCTCCATAAAATTTGGCGACTCTCTCAAAGTCAGGCAAACCTACAACTCAAATCTTAACGAGAACTAAGACCTCTACTCTCAAATGCAACGATTCAACTTCAGAGCGAAATAAAAACAAAACTAGTACATTCACACATCTCTCGAAAAAAAGCCAAGAGAAAAAGTTCAAATGCATGAAGGAAATCAACTGTCTCCGATACAAAACGATGATAAACAGTGCGAAGGTGAAAATTCAAGCGACTAACGAATGGAACAATCCTCGTCTCAAATATGTGACTGATTGTACACAAAATTATTCCTCAAACTAATACTAAAATGAAATTCGAAAGTACATGCTTCTCACGAGTCTGAATATGAAATTAACAGTGAATCAATTCCATGCATCATACTGAAGAAATATAACAAATTCATGAAAACCAACCGGTATCAAATTAAATGCACAACATAAAGCCTGCATGTCACCAGAATTATATGCAATAACTTAGTAAATGAACGAAACACAACATAGTGACGAAATCCCACACCGTCAATTGAAAATTTCACATCAAACAGACGGTAACACTGGATTCAGGAATATATACAGACAACCATGTTAGCCATTTGAACTGCGGAATCATTAGAAAAACAACATACAAAAGCGTCTACCCTCAGGTAGTCGATTCAGGGTTCATACATTACGAATTTTAGTTACTCCAGAAACTACTAAACATCTACCCAACCCGTCCACTGCAAAACATTAACTGAATCTACTAGCAAACTAGACATTGGCTGACTGGTTTCAACGTAGAACTCTCCATAGAGGTGCAGCAGACCGAGTTGCCACACTCCACACTATACTGCACAAAGGAAGACAAAAAGGTGCGGGAAAGAGATTCGAAAGGACGTCAATAAGCAGGAGTGCGAGGCGAGAAGGATGGTGACATGGAAAAAGGAAAGGCTTTTATTGGACATGGCAGATCATAGAGAGTAAATGCATCGGCGCCAATGAGAACAATTTTCAGCCACACCACCAATTGTCTTCAGCAGTCAGTTCTTGGAATCCCGAAGACTCCATCATATCTAGTATTGGGTGGAGTGGGACGTATTGAAATCCCGAAGACCTGAATCAGGTAGTCCACACTTCCCTTTGTGGATCAAACTAACTGTTAAAGATTTCATGAACTCATACGACGATTTGGTTTGACCACCACTAGCTCTTTTCCAACCCAATCCTATGTCAGCTAACATTTCTAACAAACCGGATAAGGATTTTGAGGTTTGTAACTACGTAGTGTTGGGAATCATTTCACGTACTGAACTCCTCTTTCTACTGATGTATGCAATCCTTATTTGTTCAATTTGTGATCATATGAAACATGAGTTATACACTTCATTAAAGAACCTAATTCTCCAGTCATTCCAGGAATTTAATCAGCATAGGCAACTATTGTAACTAAACAACTGAATGCTTAATAATATCCGAGCACATGTATGAAGATAGAAAGGATTATGCAATCTGCTCATCACAAAAGTCTAGACACTCCATAGAAAAAATGATCGATTTATCAAGTTATTGTGGAAGTAAATTCATTGAACACACTGATTGTATTATTCATCTAAATAAGTATCATCCACACACACACACATTGTCGGTACAAAGTGTGTAATGAGAAGAAGATATCCGGAAACTTGTTAAGGTGAAGTACAAACTTGAAAGGTGAGTAAACAAATCGCTTGATGCCAGACACGTGAAGTTGGTTTCAACACATATCACACAAACCTATACTTCTTGTCCTCTTCCTCCAACAACAACAACGACCTGCGCTGCTGCATGGAGTTAGCTCACAAGTGGTCAACATAAGACACAATAACCAAGAATCGACTCACTGAACCTTCATATTAACTGAGTAGAACAACAATGACACTTTGGCGACACATACATAGATTTTCATTCTACAGAATGGATATTCAGTTATTCAACAATCGTTTCCATCACTCACACCATCTTTGAAATCAAACCAAAGACTGTTATTGTTAGAAACTTCACCTCGAAGAATAAAGTCTGTTTCGATATCTTTCCATTTATAAACACCACACAGAATATCCAAGTAGTACGAATATGAAGACACAGGACATTTCCATAGGACTTTCCCCTAAGGTTGTGCAGTTGAAATTGTTCCAAAATATCATCGACAAGTTCGTTGGTATAAAAATATTTTCAAAAACTGTATGAGACAAAGATAGGACTACGGTGTTAGGGAGAAAAGGTCAACTTTATCAATTTTCACATTTCACGACGTTGCATTTCTGATTTTATCAAGTGACACTAACCTTTGACTATTTTATAGACAAATTCTGTTTCGGTCAAAGAATAACATTGAAAAATGTGATTCATCACGATTTCTATTTGACTTTTTCCCTAGTTAAAATAATAAAGAGCATAGACTCACTTAGGAAGGCTCCTAACTGTAAAATCTAGCTAGCATTAATGCACAAGTGCTCGATGACGCATAATGTTTAACACAACGAAATCGTATTACATTTCACTGTCAGTTAGGCAACAAATAATAACTTGAGGTATTCGAAACAACCTTGTAGTCAGGTGGTTCACTAGAAAATAGTCAGCCTGTACACAATGCAAAGATAAGCTAAAAGCAGTGAGAAAAAAAGTCATTTATATGAAAATACATAAAAATAATCAGAGAGAAATTCAAACGCTATTGCTTTGGTTCCGATGTATTAGTATGAGGAATTGACTGTTTAATGGCACAGTGTTGGACCCACGGATGAGACATGATACCTTCTAAGGACAGGCGATCAGTTGGATTACGTTTGAGGATCTGTAAAGGCATTTAAAAACGACTATCAGATAAATCTACGACAATCTAAAACGTGAAACTAACCATAAGCTGTAAATAATACTCGAAATATAAACCATTAATTCAGACGGAACAACAGTCTTTCTCTTCAACGAAGAAATATCTCTCCTCAACGACCTCATTTCCACGCTGCATAGTGGTAGTTATATTACGGGAAAGGCCATTAAGTGGCACTAGGAATTTCTCAGTCAATATACATATGATAGGAATAAAGATAATTAAAGTGATGTACTAAGGGAGTAGAGTTGAAGTGGATGAATTACAAAACTTTTAAAGATTAATAAATAAAGGAACTGGTATACAGATTTTAAAAATAGTAGGTCAAGTATTGTCTAGAAAACTAAGAGCATGGCTATGATAACAATGAAGACGGCGAAGATGAAGTGAAGTTGATTGAATTCAAGTGGTGAAATAGAATAAAATAAAAGTACATTACTATGACCAAGGTAAAGAACGGGGCTTGACAGAAGGTCTTAAAATACACATAAGTGGAGGAAACGTAAGCTTTTGGATTGGTTGGATTCGGTCCTGCAGATGACTTTAAAGGATAAATCACGTGAAGCTGAATGATCTGACACCAGAAGGTGTTCGAAAATTGAGGACTTCGTCGTCCTATGGTTCACCTTTCATTAACCTAACCGAATAGTATTCAGGTACGCGTTTACAGAGGTTACGCTTACAACGTCCAATGCAATCAGCTCCACACAACCACGTAAATCAGTATATAAGCACATAGAGGTGGACATAAGCGGTAGTTTATCATTGACGCATTGTCGAGTCATATTTTGGCTGGTAAATACTAAATGCAAGTCAGCTGCATAAAAACACTGTTTAATACATTTAGATGAGCGACCTTTAATTACTTCAGAAATACTGTCACCTTTGAAAGCAAAACTCATAAACAGTGTCTTCTTTGGCACGGTGATTTGGCTGGGAATGGTTTCCTTCTTGATGTTTCTGTCGATAAACCTTCTACGACATCCATTATTTAAGCGAGTTGTGCGAAGGCTTTCTAATCCTAAGTCGACTGTATCTACAGAGCAAATTTTCCGAATTCTCGAGCATAGAGAATGATAATAGTAATAATAATAGCTTTATTCCAAACAGTATTTGTGGTACAGGTATGGAATTTTCAGCGTGCATTACAATATTGCATCTAATTACCTCATAAATTTTATAAGATTTTAAAATTAGAAAGCAACAACAATATAAAGACAAAAGATAAATAAAAGAAATAAAAAAGAACAGCATTGCATTCACATTTTTAACAATGCACCACAGGATATGAAATATAAAATTAGTGTGTAATAGAATATGTGAGCAACAATATAATAGTAACAAAGAAAGGAGAACAAAAGCTAATGGGAACTATTTGTTAGAGTGCCGCAGTAAGTTGATCGTGTCATACCTAACAGATTTCTCATCACATAACAGCTGGGTCAGATAAGGTATTGTGGAGTTTTTGTACTTGGTAGTCCTCGTATATAGCCTCCTATAGCTGCTTGTAGTTCTACCAGATGAAATGCAAGGAGAGAGATGCGTACAGAGAGGATGCTCGGGGTCTGACAATATAGTATTCGCTAGTTTCTTACATGACATTATATGTCTATCTACAATGGTGTTAACCGGTTGGCTTAACGAAATCCCACTTCCCCTTCTAACAGCTTTTAGTGCCCTACGCAGCAAAGCAAAATCTTTCTTAAGTAGTCCAGGGAAGATTAATGGGGAGCAGTAAAGAGGGATGGATGGTTAGAATACAAGAATTGACAAACTGAGAAAGCAAACACTGCTTTATACTAGACTGCCTTAACTTCCTAACGTAGAGCGTTCTAGTAACTAGCAAGATGTGAGAGGACCAGGAAAGATCGGGGGAAATACTAAGTCCAAGGTACTTGACATTAGATGTCATTTCAACCTCTATGCCGTCAATGATAGTGGGACCATGTGAGCTAGCTAGTTGTTGTAGGTCACGTTTTCGTCTGAAAGTGAAACTTACTACCTGACATTTAGACGGATTCAGCTTAAGACCGTTTGAAGAGGACCACTGACTAATTTCCGACAGAAAGTTATTTAGTTTGGAACAATCTGACTGAGAGTTGACAAGCATAGAGACAGAGAGGTCATCAGCATACTTGACAAAAGTGACTACATTGGAATGGGGCAAGTCATGTAAGAAAAAAGAAAACAGAAAAGGAGAAAGAACAGCACTTTAAGGAACACCAGCTAAAGTGAGGTAGTGGAGGACTTTCCATTGTAGACGGTGTACTGCTTCCTATCAGAATCCTGGAGGACAGAGAACGGATAAAATTTCTCATTCTACCTAGAGGTACCCAAGTGTTGAGGTTAGTGTACTGATGGAAATTGTTCAGCGGCTGAGCTTCTTGAAAAATGTAATGGTTCTCACGCACCTATGCTTTCCATTATGGAAGAAGAGTCGAACTCCGCATTTCAATTCTTAGATGTGATGCTAGATAGAAGAGAGGACGGCACGTTGAAAACGTCGATCTACTGAAAGCCGACACTTACAGGTCAGTATACTAACTTCAACACTTGGATACCTCTAGGCAGTGAGAGAAATCTTATCCGTTCTCTGTCCTCCAGAATTCGGAATACAATTACAAATGTACAGACTGAAAATGAAGTTGTTGAAAGGAGATATTTCTTCACTGAACAAATAAAACTGTGTGAAATAATGGATTTCGTCGATAAAGGAAATTTTCTGTGCTGAATTTGTCTTTTATTTTCTTTATGAAATAATACTTGGAGAAAAGAATAATAAAAATTATTTTCATTGCAATAAAAAGCGAACAAACAAAGAAACATTGTGAACTTTAGATGCTTATATTGGTATTTTGCGAAACAACACCTACTGAGACTCACAGCTGAGTGTACCATTAAAATCAGAAACCTGCCGTAGATCAAACTTAGTTCTAATTACAGAAACCCGTACGATTCCACCGTGGACATCATCGGTTGCATAATTCAAAATAAACTATAACGAAACATATGCACTAGCACTGAAGTTTGGAACATTTCATGAGCTATATATGCTCTTGTTTTCCCTTCACACACATAACTTATTCTCTCAGGCACCATGAGGATTCGAACTGGTGTATCTGTTTACACATTAAATGAGGTCCGGACTTGACAATAGTCTAAAAATTAACAGATTTGGTAACTCACTCAACAGGACAGTAGCAACCATAATTGAGTAATGCACACAAGGAGGAAGAAGCACATTTGGAAATTCAACACGGAAGAGAGTAACGATTCTCACTAACCGCATACGTGATCTGTTTTCTTTGTCTAAAGCGAGCAAATATATCAACGATGAAAACATAAACTAAATGCATGTTGCATTTTAGAAGCTCGATCTCCCATCCATATGCCTTTAGGGAAATTCAAGAAACCTGATACAGTATACATACCACATATGTGAGAAAATCTTGCTTATATTTTTCTGTATGTATTCAGCATATCAACGACTTCACAAATTGTAACCAAGGATTAAAAAACAATGAGAAATTACCTTGGAAATCAGATCCTGTGCCAAAGGCGTTATGACAGAAGGGAACGTATATTTCACAGCTTTGATACAAGCATAAGTCTCTTGAGAACTAGGACGTTCGAATGGAGGTTTACCACACAGCATCTCGTAACACAGAATACCAACGGTCCAATGATCTACATGTTCATCATGGGAAGTCCCACAAATCATTTCTGGAGCCAAATAATCTACTGTCCCGCAAAGTGTTCTTCTCCTACAAAATGTGAAAAAATCCCAGCTGTTAACTACAAAAGAAAATTCATTTCTAAAAGCATTAGGACTCTATAGGAGATGCCGTCATGTCGTGTTAAATCCAGTAAAACGTCGAAGGTTATGATAACCTGGTAGTGAACACCAGCGAAATCAAAACCACGCCTTCAACAACATTCAGAATTGGTTCGTCCTAGGTGTTTGGAATTCAACAACTTCGCATTCTCTTCCGATAATATCCCCCACTTAAAAGCAATTTTATATGTCAGTACAAGAAGCAGCCTGCAACTCTAACAAGGCAGAAGGCAATAACCAAACACACATAAACATTGTTCGACTTTACGCAACTCTGCATCGATCCATGTCGCCCAATTCGCACCAGTGAAACGAGGACAACCTTCACTCGATAGAAGAGATATTACTAACAGTCATTGCTGTGATTCAGTATTCATCCAGTGTTCAGACACTGGTGAGACCGATGATACAACTACAGTGGACAAAGCAGGAGGAGTTAATTTTTGCAGACGTTGATTATGTCTGGATCTCTAAGGTCAGAGCCAATCCCAATTTCATAAGATACACTCTTCACTACACTTGTCATGTGTTCTGATACAGTGAAATAGGGCAGAAGTATTACACTTGAAACCACAAGTTCAAACAGAAAACTAGACCAATGCTTTCATCACCTCACGCACATATTTTGAGTCAACAACAACAAGCACAATATTAACTGGCTTCGCTAGAAAAGTATACAATCTACAAATATCCTACCATATCACATATTTATAAAACAACAGGATCATATTAACTCATACTCACCTCAATGATGGAGCATGTACTCCCCATCCAAAGTCTGCCAGTTTAAGCTCATGATACAAACCCAAGAGCAAGTTCTCAGGCTTTATATCACGGTGAATCACCTTCTTTTTGTGGCAGTATATCAAAGCATCACAAAGCTGGTAAATATACTGAGAGAATAACAGCAAAAGCAGAACATACAGTAGCCGAACGTGCCTCACTAAAGCGTCCCAGCTTTCGAAGCTCATTGAACATTTGTCCCATAAAAGCATACTCGAGAACCAAGTATATCCGTTTGTGATCATGAAAGTAAGTATATAGTTGTAGAATGTTAGGATGCTCCAAGTGGCACATGATTTCAATTTCACGTTGTATCTGGTGCTCCATCCTGCTTTTTACTAATTGCTTCTTGAAAATAACCTGAAAAGTTGGTTACGCGTAACACCTGAAGAAGCATACTTTTAGTGCACATGGAAAGTGTGATGTTTTCTTTCTAGCTAAGAAAACCGTGCCAAACTTCCCACGGCCAAGCTTCTTCCCAATGTCGAAGTCAGACAAGACACTCATGCGGGGATATTCCACAACTACCATTTGGACTTTTACCGACGAAAAAGGAGCGCAATCAGTTGTTAACTCGTTGCCTATACAAACAAACAACCTCTTTCATCAGAAAACGAAAACTGGAATTCACATGTGATTAGGGTCTGTGATGTTGAGATGCCTACTGAGTTTTGAAATTTAACGTATTAACTGCCTGAGTTTTGGGCGACGAGAGAAGAAAACAGACTAGTTGCAAACTTCATTTTCCTTTGTACCTACAACTTCTACTGGTTTAAAATATAAGAATGTTCTGGAGTACCTGGCATTGTAGCTGCAGACATCTCTCTAAATTTATTATTTCACAAATCTCACCACAATTCAACGTTGGACAATGCCTTGCACTACCGAAGTCAACCATTGAGGCTAATGGTACACTGTGAAGTGTCCATAAACCTGCACTCCAGTGTGTTGCACTCAGATATTCACGCATGACTGATATTATGCTGAGAGTGCAGCGGTGATACACAATCCGACTTTTCTATATCCTATATGTGTGTCTGGACAGGATGTGAGAGGTGATGCATTGTAAGAAATATCACTAACATGCAGCCACTGAATCGCCAAAAATCAGAGGATGCAAGTTGGGACTGTAGTTCAGCTTTCTTGCATCAAAGTAACACTATGGTTAGAGAGAATATAATAGACTGCATCGACTAAGTATTAACCGAATTGACTTCTAGCTCGCTTTCGGACTCTCAATGTGTTCTGATATTTGTTGTAAAAGGTACACATCAAACAAGGCTCCATTTTACACTTTCCTTTGTTCTGGTTGACACACATATTCTCGCTCCCTAGCTGAGCCATGTAAGTCAAGTTAGTCCGAAAACCTCTTCCTTGAGCAACGTTAGCCATTATAATATTTGAATGTATTACTACTCCGAATAAATTTCACAACATCTGAGTCATTAATATTCATCATTTGTTACCTCGCCTAGTTTATTAGTTCGCTAGTTTTCTAACCAGCGCCAAGCCCAGGTGAAGAGAGACGGCTGGGGTGGAGCTAGTGGCCCTACCACACGGAACTAATCAAAGTGCTGCATAATCTTCAAGGCCCGAAAAATAATAACAATAGAAAAGCTGTGAAAACGACCTCATCTATTTCCTGGAATTGGAGGGGCGAAATTAGGCAGGCTGGTAAAGTGCCTCGGGAAGTCAGTCAGCCCATGCATCTCCTCTCGATGAAAGCAAGAATAAGAATGGGGACGTGAGATGTCTGTACAATGTACGAGACTGGGAAGGCTGTCCATGTGCTCAAATAAATGTTAAACTGCGGCATATGAGTGCTGCGAATCTGAGAGAGCGGGTAGAATTGATGCGTACTGGCCAAATTTTCATCCTCAGAGTCACTAATACACTGAGGTTAGCCATATAACAACCAACAACACAGTGATGGAGAGGCTATGACGGTGTCACCAACGGCAGCTGAATGCCCGGTGTATTGCCTGCTGAATTCCCCCAGGACCATAAAATAAGACTCCACATAGAGGGAAGGGGAGTTTCAAATATCCAATGCTACTCGCCCACAAACAACCCAGAACTTGACAAATAATAATAATAGTATATTCTCATTTTGTACATGAGGGACGCCAGTTTACAGGCATCATCAATTCGATAAATTACACATACGAATAGTAAATATAGTCAGTAATGATAATATAATAAGGTACATAATTATTCCTACAAATGCAGGACACACAAGTTGTAAAGCCGTGGATAAGTATTATTTAAGTTACATATTTAAATTACATAATTTGAGGTTAAATAACATGGTTGCTGTCATTTTATCTTCAGTTTGTGGGAAAAATCGGAACACATTAAGAAATATAGAGATATTGAATTCGCATTAACAAAAAAACCCAAGTATGGGTTGGATGGATTACAGATACTTGGGAAAATAAATAAAGCTTGAAGTCAAGTCCCTCATAAAACAATAGAATACGTCTTACAATAATATATTCCCTCTTTACGCACATGAATAAATAAATAAATTTATTCTCATAGTACAGTACATGAGGGACGCCAGTTTACAGGCATCATCAAATTGTTACAGAAATAGAACCATATAATTCAATCAAAATTTACACGCTGCAACAAGATATGCTTAACATGTCCGCTGGAGATTATACATACACTTGATAAATGTTAATCCCAGCAGTATAAAACAGCATTTTCACTTATATACAATCATTTCTGGGCACAGTTGGAAAAATCTGCTAGATTATCAGTGAGTGCAACACATCAGGAAATACAGAAGTATTGTCTTCGCATTAACAAAAAATCAGGTCTTTGGTGGATGGATTATAGGTGCCTGAGAAAAAAATAAAGCTTGAAGTCAATTTTCATACATAACTTTGTTGTGTGCAGAGTCCTCGAATTATAGTTCATTGATGTGTTATTTTGAAATCAGTGATGTGTTTATCTCATTTGATCTGCAATGTCATTGTTGGGAGTAAATACATAAGCTTCAGACGCATTAATTAATGGATTTCTACTGCTTGTGGGTATTTTCTTAGCATGAGGAAGGTTTATGAATTTCAGCTATTCCGACAGGAGTTGAGAATATTAACTGCTCAGCAACATTATGGATATAAGTTCATCACATTATCTAAGGAAAGGTGGGTTGCAGTTGGTGAGGGATATATAGTGCCCAACGAGCGTACATCTGTCCATGTGATGTGGTGATTTATACCTTTTTCATGTTGTCGGTTTATGGCCATTTTATTCCACTCATTGTGTTGGGTAGTAGTTTTACAAACGAGATTTCTTGTCTGTTTGAGGATACGTATCTTAACCGTTAATGTTTTATCTAGAATTACAAATATAGGCAAAAAACAACAGGTGTAGTATTTAAGCTTATACATTAAATGGACCTATAATTTCGGAGGCTCTCAGATAGGAACTAGAACTACCATCGTTTGCAAACTCTTGTAGTTTGTCATTAAGCACCTTTTTGAAGGAGGCCAATGTACTTGCTCGATGCATTTCCATTGGTAGTTTATTCCATATCTGTGCATACCTAATCAAGTAAAACTTTTGCCTGGTGGCTGTTTTACATTGTTCGAAAGCTACTGTACCCTTAGCGTGTCTTAGTTTGTAGCCATTGTCAACTGAAAGTCGAGTGCCATTAGTAGAGGTAAAAACTAAGTGGTTTAGAAGCTTATAGTAAAGTGTTAAGTTTAGTCTCAGGCGTCTTAGCCATAGTGTTTCTAGTCCTAGGGTATTACATCTAGTGGAGTAGTTCGCACCATTTTCAGTTCAGAGTAATTTTAACGTGGAGTACCTCTGCACTCACTCGACTTTCAATTTGTCCTCTATGCGTATACTACTATACATGAATGAACAGTAATCTAATAAAGGACGCACACAAACCTTGTACAGCAGAATTCTAGACTCATTTCTGTAGAAGTTCCTGAGTAGAAAGCCGATAAGTCTGCGTGACTTTGGCACTTGTTTGGAGATATGTTCAGAAAATGATAAGTTATGTGAATATTTCAGCCCTAGGTCTAGTACAGATTCCAGTCGTTGAAGTGCATGGCCTTGAATTGTCAGGTCAAGTTCTAAATTGTTGCAACCTATGCAGAGCCAGCCACATTTTTCGACATTAAATTGGAGTTGCCAGGTGTCACACCATCTATCCATTTTTTCTAATTCTTGCTGTATGGCGTTTACTGTTATTCCAAGATCTGTGTTCTTGCATTTATACGTCACTTTTAAGTCATCTGCATATAGTATTGGTTTCCCTACACTAAAGCATTCACAGATACTGTTTATATGTTATGAATAAGAGTGGGCCTAATACACTTCCCTGGATCACACCACTACTTACTGGTTTAGGCCTTGAGATTATCGAGCCAACTTTCGTTGTCTGACTTCGGCCACAGAGAAATGATTTTATCCAGCTCAGGAGAGGGTCACATATCTCTAGTGAGCATAACCTGCTGACTAGCAGATTATGGGGAACTCTGTCGAAGGCTTTTGTGATATCGAAATATAGCACAATTACTAGTTCTCTGTTGTCCCTACTTCGTGTAACTCCATTGAAAAAGTCTATGTGACAGGTCACACATGATCTCTTTTTGAGAAATCCGTGTTGTGATGGATTGATAAGTTCATTTTCTAGTAAGTTGTCTGACACTTGGTCTTTAACCACTTTCTCCATTATTCTGGATATTACCGGTGTTATATTGATAGGTCGATAGTTGCATACACTGGTTTTGGCCCCTGCTTTGTGCTTAGGTAATATGTATGTGGTTTTCCACACTTCAGGATAAGTTGCAGTTTCCAACGAGAGAGTACATATTCTAAGTAACAAGACTGCCATTTCCGTGCTACCATTTTTGTATATGACAGATGGTATGTCGTCTGTTCCAGTACTACCATTAGACTTCAAAGTCTTAATCGTTGAGTCTATATTTTGTATATTAAAGTCTATTTCGCCTAATTTGTGGTTGCTTTTGCAGGTCATTTGGAAATTTGGGGTCGGGTGCACTCTGGCGTCATTGCAAAACCACTCATTGAGGAGTTCACTTATAACCTGGGGATCATTGTATATTATACCCTTATGCTCCAAGCTGCTTGCAGTATTGTCTTTACTGCTTTTTAGACGTTTCTGCAATATCCTACAAAGTTCCTGAGTTTTGGAGTTACCCACAAGCGCTTTGTTTTCTTCAAGTTGTGACCTCATTTTGTGTTTATCTTCAAGCAGTTTCATGTATTTGCTTTAACGCACCAAATTCCTTTAATACATGGTATTTCCTTTTCAATTTCTTTAGTTTTAGTCGCGTTTTGCGGTCTATAAATGGAGTTGGTGTCTTTAGAGCAGATTTTAGGGGCGCGATTGTGTCTCTTGCTGAGCCAATTGTTTTGTAGAAAATATCAAGTGATACTTCTAAGTTATTGTTGATGAAGTATTCCTCCCAGTCAGAACTTCTCAGCAGATCTGATAGGAATTCCCAATCGGCATTCTTATAGTCCCTATATTGATAGTGCACCGGGGAATTTTTAGGTGTGTGTTTAGTTGTTAGTCGGAGGGGTAGCGTGCAGTACAATGTGTTGTGATCACTGTTATCAAGTTTATTTCCTACCTCTATCGAGATGGGCTCTATTTCATGACAAAGGATTAAGTCAAGAGTGTTTTCATTTCTTGTCGGGAGGCGTACGCACTGCTTCCATCCGCCTACGTCTATAGCTTGTAGTAACTCGTCATGGATTCTAGGTCCTGTACAGGTATCCCAGTTTACTCCGGGTAAGTTGAAATCGCCACAGACTACTTTGTAGTCAAAGTCCAGCGAAGCTACATGCTCTAGTATTTCACCAATAATTATATCAGTCATTTCAGAGCTATTAG